TCAGTGGAGCAATTTGTCTATTAATGTCATCGATTACTGTACATACTGTATTTAACCTGACAGTCAATATTAGACGAGGACAATGAACAGACATTAATCTTATTTATTAATGTAATGTGTGTAGCATTCAATTTAAAACCGCATGAGGTGAATAAAATAACTGATATAAAAGCTAAATTATATTTAATTGAAATTGTACTCGACTGGAGTGTGCACACAGCTTGAGCTCTGGGAGCGAATTGGCTTTATAATTGGTTTGTTTATGCCTGAAACACAGACGCTGGTGTAAATCTAACAGGTCTGAAATATGGACATCCTCTGACACGGTGTTTCTGAGGAAATGTCAAGCATTTAAATGTGAGTTTTAATATTTTCTTTTCTGCTCCAATTTGGCTTGGCAGTGAGTCACAGCTTCAGGGCGCTGGTCCAGAGTCGGGACGGGAATTTAACCAGCAATTAATCAGCCCTGATACACACTCGTCCTTTAGCACCTGCTCCTTTAGAGGGTTTCTGTTTAATGGAGTCATTTCTTATTTTTACACTAATGCCTCGACTAAAGTCAATATGTGTGAACGACAGAAACTAGCTCCCAGAGATTCAAATTATTAAAATAATAGAAGTTTTGAGAGAAATGAGATAAAAACTGGTATTATCTACAAAATAACCATGCCCGGGGCATCTGGGTAATTTCCGTAATGTAGTAAAATTCAAAAGATACTGTATAACAGGTCAGTGAAACAGCACTGAGGCTGATATCATGACTGTTGGCGCGTTTCTTAAAAAATATATGAAATAAGATTTGTTTTTACATAAAATCTTTCCCCATGATTACAGCTTGTGTCCATCTTAACAAAAGAATCAAAAATAAAAGTTTTGCATATCTAGCGTTGGCATTTAAGGTAGTATGGCACACCCCCTTTTAAAACATTCAAGGGTGGGGATCCAAATAATGCCTTGTGTACAATTCCATCTTACAGCAACGGTTTCTCTATTTGTCCATCCATGAGAGCTTTGGTTAGCTGAAACCATGTGAGCGTGGCAAATAACCAAAACAAAAGAAAAAAAACATACAGGGAATAAATTACAATGTACCTCTATCAAAATAAATGTCTGCAAATCTCAGAATAACATGATCATTTAGAGAAAGGTCTATCTTGACTGGTCCTAAATCCACTAATCACTACAAGTATTATATTAATGAGTCCTATATAACATCTACGTTTGTAATTACAGGAGATAGAAAAAGAGCGCGAGAGGGAGAGAGGGGTAAATGTGAGAGAAAGGAGAGGTAGAGCAAAGGGAGAACAACAAAGAGCACTACACTGGTATCAAAGACAGCACTCTGTTTACAAGTTAACTGTGAGCTCTTTACACACTAATGAAATACATGGATGATCAACAAAAGAGAGCAGGATCTCTGAGGATGGTGAATGGAAAGAGAGAAAGCAATGGATGCACAGTACATTTTAATAGTATATTACAATTATTCATATATAAA